CGCGTGCGAGACGCGCGCACGCGAAGCCGCGCGCGACAAGGATTAGGCGTGCGGTAGGGCGGCGCGCGATTGAGGCGGCCGAAAATAAAAGGGGCGTGTGATTGGGATTTGTTTTGAGTGCAAGCCAAGCAAAATCTAGATCTAGTCAAATTAGGACTTTAGATATTTAGTTTCCTTCTTGCACAATAATATCTAGATTGTATAGGATATTTAATATTTTATTGCTTTAATATGTTTCCTAGGTAGATTAGAATTAGTCATAGTTAGGATCTATAAATAGGGATGATCCCTCATTGTTTTTTCATGTCTTGGAATGGAATAGAAAAGAACGTTTGTTCGAAACCGTGTGTTGAGAGTCGTGAGATTCGATCATACAAATCGAATTGGTGAGGCTAAGACCCGAGCCAGTTCAACGATTTAGAGAGGCTAAGACCCGATCTATTTCGAGAGTGTAGCGAGGCAAATACCCGAGTGAACTCAAGTATCGTGAGAGAGTTAGGCTAATAACCGAGTCGATCACACCTATCGTCGAGAGCAAGGCCGTGGCGAAGCCGTGATCGAGACAAGTCGAGGACGTGAACGCCCGATCCTTCATCATTGGTGCTTTCATTGAGAGTGATTGATTTGGTGTTCGTGAACTTTTTCTATCCCATTCTTTTTGTTTTTTATTTTTTGTTCAAATTTTTTGAGTCCTTGTGTTCGAATTTTTTCGAATTTTATCCTTAAATTTTCGAAAAATTCGTGAGTATCAAAAAAAAAAAAAAGTGTCAACTTGTTAGTCCTTTTGTTTTATTTTTTCGGTTATTACCTTTTTGTTGAAGGGGCCGAATTTCTTTTGTTTTTCTTTTCTTTTTGGTTCGACTTTGTCGAATTTTTTAGAGTAAAAAAAAAATTATGTCTTACCCACCAATGGACGAGATGGATTGGGAAGATCTCGAATTGTTGGAGAGTTTGGAGAGAGAACTTACCCCATGGGAGAGCACATATTTGGACGAGCTCCATGAACGAAGAAACCGAGAAGAATACGAGCGACAGCTCGTAGAAGGACGAGGAGCAATGGTGGGTGAAGTTCTAGACTGTGAAGATGATGGTGCGCTAAATTTCTTAATCCTTGAGGACAAGGAAAGTCTTGAAGAGGAGGGGAATTACGGAAGTGGTCATCAACCCTGGCAAGTCCGACGAGGAAGAGGACGATGGTCTTAACGTATGGCTGGAAAACATGCTGGAGGAGCCGACAAGTCCAATATACCGGCCATCATGCGTACGAGATTGGCCGATAGGATGTGGGCCACGGCCTAAATTGAAGATCAAGAAGCGCAAGACCAAACGAGCACAAAGAAAACGCAAGGCGAAGACTAAGGAATCTTGTTGTTGGTGTAAGCCTTGTACAAGGAAGAGACGAGCACGAAAGGAGGAGGCTAGAGGGCGCGGGTTGCGATGGGGGAAAGATGGATGGTGGATACCGGTCGAGGATTGTGAGAGGTTGAAAGGTTGGGATCCATGGCCCGAACCAACGACGACGATC